AAACACTTGTGGTAAAATAAATTAATTTTCTAACATAGGGTAATGAAAATTTGTTTTTGAAAGTAATGTAGGTTTGCATTACGTTCATTCTGAAAATACTTGCTTGCTAGTAACAGCTTTACTAATTCAGGTATTCCGTTTGCAACGGAGAGCATATGAATGATTTTAACAGAACGGTGGAATAATTTCTACGAAAAATTTCAAGGGGACACTGTTTTGCAGAATAACGTTAGGAGATTAAGTGAGGTATGGCACTACGAATATGAGTGGTGTGGCACTACGAATATGAGAAATAATTCGAAAAAATGACGTGTACACGACCGATAAGATAATTATTGTTCGCAATACTAGAAACTCTTATCGCCGTAGTGACGAAATTTAACGAGAGTTATTCCGAATATTTGACTCTGATTTCTAAACTAATATTTTCATATTTTTTAGCTAACCATTTGTTCTTTGTTTTAATTATGGGATAAAAGACACCTGTATAATATAACAGTACACTTTTTCCATTTACTTCAAGTACGTGCATGCAAGTTTATCTCGGACTGTATGACTAGCGTTGTTTTTAAAATGCCCGGTATGGCTCTTTATTCGTACCTGCTAATCAGTTGAGAATGTTACTGTTTTATGGTCTTCACAATAATGGCAGTAGATTCTCTCTCAAAACAGAACGTTAAATTGAAATTTTAGTCATATCAAATTCTAATTAGCAAACTCATTCGTTCCTATGAGATAATGAATGCTTTTAAAATTTGCAGATTTTGAGAGTGGCCATCACTGGCAAGAACGTGCGAGAATTACGATAGTAGTCTTTTTGGCAATGTTTTGCGTTTCCTAACTGCTGTGTAGCATATCTTTACATTCAATTACAAATGCTGTTCAGCAAAATCAGCACTGGATTCAGCGATCAATTAATCATTTAAGCACCGTATTGAAATTCTTCAATGCTGCGTCGCACCCTAATTTCGCTCGAGTTCGAAAGTTGATCAACTGTTTGCATTCCAACTAACAGTGCGAGCAAATTGCACCAATTGTTGCAACTAATAACACCGTTAGTGTCATTTCTGATGGAACCCTTTTCAAAAATTGAGATTTAGTTCTGCCTCCCATGAATTATATTAACTTTTCTCCAGCTAATCTTACAATCGTTCTGGAGATTTTCCCACGAACTGTCCACTGTTACTTGAAAAAAAACGTTGTATCTTACATCTCCAGCTATAGTTTGAGTTTCTTGCAAAAATGTTCATTTCGTCCATCTAATTTTTCATTCTTGCAATGGCATCTCCGGCCCCTGTTTATGACATCATTAATTTGTTCTTCTTCTCGTTCTTCCATACTGGATTGTGCAGTTCACTGCTTGTAAAAAGATTGCACCCATGAAGTACATACTCTAGCCATGGGAGCACGAGATAATCATAGACTGCCTGCGCGAAACCCGTTTCTCAGTAGGCAGGAATGATTACAACGCCTTACCATTTTTAAATTTCGTTGCATTAACTCTATTTTTCCGAACACTATCATCAGAGCGTCTTACAGGTGATGTAATGTTCAGTGAAATTAAAGCAGAAAGATAGATCTTATTTTCACTGAAAGAAACGCGATAGTGGTCTCACGCATTACTGCTTAAAAATTATTTTCCTCCTTGTCAGGAGAGTGGATAACAGTTAATGAAGTGTTGTTCAGCAGCAGAAATTACGGGGGACCTATTTTCCTGTTATCCATATGATAGTCATTAAGGCCTGTTGCTAACCCCCAACTGTAGACCGACGGGGCTGTGGTGAATTATTATAAAATCCTGACTGGTAGTCACAAACCCTGTTGCTCATAAGCGCCTGCCACTGCATAGCAGGTCTGCAAATGAGCTTTCCTCTGGGAAGCCGGTGGCGAAATCTAGTTCACCAACCACCAGCTCTCATGGAAGTGTGGTGGCCTTTCTACCGCGCTCTAATTTTTACTTGCTCCAAGGAGATTGAGTAGACAGAGCATACCAGAAATATGAGCTCAAATTGCTGCACCAAAGTTTCGGCTCCTGATCCATCAACACGATGTCATGACCATACCCTTCGGCATTCCGTCACATTGGCATCATCGGCAATGGACTACACGCTATCTTAGAGGAACCATACGTTACTAAATCTATGTTGACCGTTATTAGTCACAACATAAGGCAATTCAGTATTGCATTAGAGATGGAGTAGGATCGATATACCCACACACTTCTGGCAACAGCAGCGGTTTACTGTTTTGTAAGATGGCCGAGCATATTTGCGCCATGTTAGGGCTCTCAATTATCAGGCGTCCAACACAACGTCCATGGCCCAATCAGCGATACCAATTTCAGGGAGCATCTCGATTTTGCAGTATCTTGACCAGGTTGGAGAATCATCGAAGGTGCAGAATTTCAACAGACTTAAATATCCGTGAGTAAGGCCATTTTCCAAAGGTCGAACTTTCTGCTTCTGTCAAAGAATGTTCATATCAGACATAGTGAGACATTGCTGAAGGTCAAGAGAATAACTAGGGCAAATTTTGGAGAATGAGGCGTAATGTTCTCCGCGCTGTGCTCAATCGATGGTGTTGCGGAACAGTACAAGCACCAGCACGTATCCTGTCTCACTTAAAACCAGTGTCTGTCTAGATACATTCACCAATGCTGCCGCATAACTCACATGAAAGTGTAAATATCAGATCCGGGTCGTCGATACGCCTGAGAAACAAGCAGGGACTAATCGGTCCACAAAGGATGCTGATTTCAGGCCATGGCAAATACGTCTCGCAAAACTTTGTGGTTCTTTAATACCTATATAGTTTAACAAATATTCACCCTGGAATACGGAGGGTCTCAGGATAAAAATACGACAGCAGTTGAAAGAGCATACCATGAAGACGATCAGCGAAGCTCTAGGGAGTAATAATGTCACTTAGAACCTCTGACAGTTTAAAACGCAGTCAAGATAATTCACATCAATCATTCTTCAAGGCAGTACACACACACTTTCACAAAGTACATCCCTCCTGTAGCCCATTCTAGCAAACATCGCTGTCATGTTGTCTCATATTAACAAAAGAAAAGACTAAGTCAAGTAGAAACAGCATTATGCAATAGAGAGGACATAGCCTGAAAAAATGCTCTTGGTATATAAATATTTACAGTAAAGCTGCACTTTATAATCCAACAGCTGAAATAAATATAACACATCTACCAAACGATAAGTATTTATCTTCCCAAAATAGAATACGAAATAGTTAATAACAGAAAAACATAACGAAGAAACAAATAACATTTCATTAATTCTGAATTTTCAAAATTCGACTATCAGACAGAATACGACTGAGACTTTTCCCATAGCCAGTGTTAAGCCGATCGACAGAGGAATCACTAAGTCTATCGAAAGTTATCAGGTCATCGCCTGGGGTATCCCTGCTCGGCAAGGTCTGGCTACTTGTGTTGCAGTACTCGACAACTGACCCGCAGTTTTTACATCTCACTACAACTTTGGCACCGTACTCGCCATCGGTCAAAATATCTACTATGCTGTCCTGTCCCAAAGATTTCGCGGTCTTCTTGGCGGACCCCGGACTAGAATTACGTGCCTCAGAAAAATCAGGAAGACAAATTGCGGTGGGAGGAAATGTAGCCTGCGAAAGAACTGGTCGAATGGAATTTTCCTAAAATGTTTGAAAAACTTATAAATTAACATTTTCAACTTTAGCAAGCAACCAGACCTCATCATCCGATGAAGTTTCAAGAATATCTCTGAAACTCTCTGGCAGAATTTTCTGTAGTGACTGGTCGATCTTCGATACGCTATCAGGACATTCAAGCTGGTTCTTAAACGACAAACGACAAGCCAACATATTTTAACAAGCATAATCAAATGAACAAGGTACCACAGTAGACTCCCCATTTTTGTACATTGACGGCTGACAACGCAAAAGGCTTACTGCCAGCACGCAGTCTTTCTTATATCGTGCCTAAACATAAAATCATAAAATTATTATGTAACGCTATTTAACGATATTACCATATAACAAGTAATAATGAAGAAATTTCGAGGAAACGGGAATTAGAAAGTAGTCGCAAAAGCCATCTTAAAAACGTGACCAAGCAGGAGCCTCGTTTCAATCAGACACGAAGCGAGTAGCGAATCAATGCCTCGGGACATTTTATATGACTACGACAGTGTCACAAGACTTTCAAAAACGACCCACATGAAAATAAAAAAAACCTTAAAACGTTAAGATAACTGTTACAATAGGACTGCCGGGCGATTTTGTCTTGTACAGAAATTAAACAGCACCTCACATCAGAATAGACAAACAGGCACTAATACAACAAAAGTAAACAGTGACCACAATCAGCCTACATAATGACAATTACTTTATTGCACCTCAGCGTACGGACCTCAAGGTCTAAGTGGGATGTAAAATATTTCAGAACAGCTTATTGAAGGACTAATAGGTCCAAAAACGAAAAATTGAAACACATGCGTTCTATGATTAGTGTTTGTACCGCATTTCAAAAAAGTATGGGCAGCTGTAAAATACCTAAATGAAAAACAATATTTTGCTGGACCAATGAACAATAAACTATTACTTATTAAACCTTTGATGAATTTAGTTATTATATGATAAATCTGCGTAATTCCTATTCGAAGCGAGTTACTCCGCTCAGAAGGTTGTGAAGATACAACATTAGATAGCTTATGCTCAGTCATACCGTAAGTTCAATGGGTTTGATTTCGTTTAAGAATTGACAATGATAATTGTACTCTAAATAAACAATTGATCCCTATTCACGTGACCCTTGGCCGCTTGATACATAATGTGTGAACGGGGGTGTGATCGTTAATGACAGATCAACATGGTGTGATCACTTCGTTTACGTCGCCAATCAGGTGAAAAGGTTAACTCTACCTTAGCCGTTTACGTCTGCTTGGAGCCCTTTTTGATTTGTGCTAGTGAATTATTATATATGCTTCTCTGGTCAATTTTGGAGCCTTAACGGTAAATCAGGTTGCACTCTAGCGGTGACATATTAGGGCAATCTCGAGATCTAGATGATTTCAACACGCTCTTGTGTGCCTTCCTCACTGAACGGACATAGCAATATGCTACCCCCATTATCTGAGGCCTTCTCGTTTTTCGGAAAGTCAGGCCTGACAACAATGGAGCACACAAGAACTCTAAATCTTACCCGTAATATTTAGATGAGCATGGAATAGAGCATTACGTACCTATTTTACTGTGATGACCATAAACATTGCAGAAAGAGGTTAATTTCTCCATTAAGCCATCGTAACCCACTGAAAGATAGATCAATGTCTATTGATAGTACTGATCTATCCCCGCTAGATGACGTGCATTCCAGAAAATTTTTTGTAGGTTTTTCTCAATATTAAAGGATAAGGCCTCAAAGAGGTAGATATTCTATTCCTATAAAGGTTACAAGAAGAACTCGAAAGAAGAATCCAAGTACTGAACGATGCAAGCTTCAAAACAGGACTGAAAATGAATCTAAAAAAGACTCAGGTCATGTTCAGCAAACACATGAATCCGCGAACTGTTGAACTCAATGGCGAAACTGCGTCTATCTGAGAGAGTCAAAGTAGAACCAATTCTGCAAAATGAACAGAGGAAAATGGTATGGAGTACTTTCAGAGGATAAAAACAGCTGCTATTCGGGTAACCGATTTGTACTTTCTGATCAGTGATGTTCCCAGTGCTGAATTATGGGTGCGAAATGTAGAACTTAAGTCTGAAAGCTATTCATAAACTGCAGATAACGTCAAACAGCATGAAAAGACGTATGCTGTGAATAACAAGAAAAGACAGTAAAACGAATGAATCGATAAGAGCACAATCATGAGTCTGCGATGTTACTGCAAAGTGAAGTAGTCAAAGTAGCAATGGACAAAACACTGACTACCGCTGTACCAAAGAGACGTCAGACTGCGTTCAAGAGAAATTAAACGGACTGTAGAAAAAAGTCCAAATCGATGGCAGGATGAGCTGAAAAACTCTGTTGGATCTAGATGGATAAGAATCCCAGAACACTGGAAATAATGTGATTAAGTGTTTTGTGAGATGTTCACTCAGCAGTGAATCGAAAATAATTTATGATAATGATCATGGAATCAGAAAACTTGTTACGTGACTGGCCTCACCAGAAACCACTACCACCACTCATCTCTCACTGCATTTCAATGAAGGTGATGAACACTTTCCTGTACATTTGAATGACAATGTTGAAAAATACCGTTCAGCCGGAACAAGCACTACGAAATACGATGTAAAAAATAAGAGATATGTGGCAATGAATGCAATTACAAACAATTGCCACCAACAATAAATATCTGTATGATTTCAGACAGGAAACCCGGGTCTATCCATGATCTCAAACAGCAAAAATCTTATAATGTGCACCAATGCAAAAATTCAATTCAAAAGCGATTATCCTGCCCAGACGTGTGTGCAAGTGTGTGTGGCAACGTGTTACTGTCAGATGGTCGCCGCAAGTGTTTTAGATCTAAATTTTTTAGTGATAAATGGTTATGCCTTTAATCGTCGC